GATAACCGTGATCATTTTGGTCACTATAATCGTGATAAGAAGTTTTCATACCGTTACATCCCTACCGATAACAGGCAAAAGATTAGAAAATATGATGACTCGTTAAGGTGATTCAGAACCGACTCTCTCTTTTGAGAGACAATATCTTTATTTAGCATGCACTTTTTTGATTAACAACTTTGCAGAGTGTTTTCATTTAAGGATAGCTACGTTATAAACTGCAAAAGAGATATTTTTCAAAAACCCATATGAGCTGCTCTTTAAGCAAAACGTGGTCAGTAGGTTAAAGTGTCTGAGTAATTGTCCCATATTTTTTATCAATTTTACAGGTTTTTTGGGGTATAATATGTCACAGTTTACATCACTTCATCATCACTTACATAAATTAAGTATAGTGTCCTGCAGCCACTAGTTAAAATCCATCAAAAATTATATCTGCTGTCTGAATAATTTTTGGTTTGACTGTATATAATCTGATATACTATTGTTGACTATGAAAGAAATGAGAAATACTGCGGGAAGCAGAAGCTCTAAATCAACAACTTTTACGGAAACATGAGTACAGGCAAAACTGGCTGAACTTGTTTGTTCTCTGAGATAAGCCAACACAAGAGGAAAGACCACATCAAGTTGTCACAAAATAACTGTCAAACTCGACAAAATCACTGGATCTCAAAGCAGGGCTCATATGATGTCACAGCTATCATGATGATAATGTCCATGGAAATTAGAGCTGCACTACAATGATCTGTCAATTTACAGCATGTCTGTGTTATTACAGAGGTCTGATATCTGATGGCACATTCAATTACACTGACATATGAGAACTTCCCATCACATTCGATACTCTGCCAAAAAATGGAAGTACACTTGTAGTCTTTTACATTTTAAGGATGTCTGATTAAAATGTCACCACGGAAACAATATGATGTGTGCATGAGACAAGAGCAAGTGAAGTCTCAGCTTAGGACAGCATGCTATTGATTTCTGACACAGCTACTGACCTCTAAAGATCTGAGATTCCATAGTAGAGCTATAATATCTTTAGAGAAAATGATCTTGTAACATTGTAACCGCCTAAGGGAAAGATTTTGTTACATAACTTCGACTTTTTAATGACATCATGAAAGTGAGAGCTTCTTTACTCTCTGTCAATAAATTAAAGTAATGTATTGCCATTATGTAATAATGCAGGAGTCATTAGAAAGACATCCTTTTGTGGAGGATGTCCTTGTTCTTGTGACTGCCTAATGGTTAACTTTTTTGATATCTTAAAGGGATAGTTCACCCAAAAATGAAGATTCTGTCATTAATTACTCACCCTCATGTCGTTCTAAACCCGTAAAGACCTCCGTTCATCTTCGGGAACACAAATTAAGATATTTTTGATGGAATCTGACAGCTCTCTGACCCTCCCATAGTAATGTAATTACCACGATCAAGGTCTAGAAACGTAGCAAGGATAAAATAATCGATAAAATAATCCATGTGACATCAGGGGTTCAACCGTAATTTTACGAAGCTATGAGAATACTTTTTGTATGCAAAGAAAACAAAAATAAAGATTTTTTTCTACTATTTGTCTCCTCCGCATCACCCTGGTGCCATTTTGGGAGAATATCCACTGAGCTAGGGCTGGGCGATAAATTGATAACGATAATTATCGCGCGATATAAATTTCCTCGTTAAACAATAACAAAAGGTCGATAAATTTTAAATATAATGTTTACGAGGCAAAGGCGGAACGAAAGAGTGCAACTCATTTGAAGCACGTCACTCGGACCATTTATCTGCTTGGATCAAAGTTTAAACGGCGGCGCAGCGCGAGCTTCACTAGAGCAGATGAGTTTACTCGCTGATGAGTCAAACGGTGCTGCTTGAGATCCAGTGTGAAGCGCTTGCATTCAACGAAGAACACAAATAACTCTGTTTACAGCCAGAAATAGGCCTGTCACGATAACAACATTTTGTTGAGCGATATATTGCCCCAGAAATAATTGCAATAAGCGATATTATTGTCATTTTAAGCCACTGAATATATAATCATAATGTAACAGCATCATAATGCATGAAGTCCTACACACTTCCAAATGACAACAAACTATAAATTTTTAAGAATATTTAGATCATGGAAATTAAGTATCAAAATGTTAGATACATGTACATATATTGTGTGATAAGTCGATATATTGATTATTGTGACAGGCCTAGCCAGATGAAACACAGCGCTGACAAACAGGAGAAACACTGCGCAACGATACAGTCAGAAGACTTTTTAATCTACAAATTGCCATCAGTTACCATAGATTTACTGTAGCAATAACTGCACCATGGTATTGTGTCAGAAATGTGGGTATTTGTGTCGAATTTATATTATTAATGTAAACATGTTTTAAATGTATTGAAGGAGGAGTAATGGAATATAATTACAGTATTTTTTTTGCAATTAAGCTATAGCGTTTATGCATTTATACTAAATTTATTTAGACTAGCTACTGTTTTTCATACAAATACCTAAAAACCATATTACATTTTTACCATGTTATTGATGTGCTATATTTGTGGTTTTAACTGTGATTATCATGATCTAAATGTATGCTACTATGGAAGACCAGTGGTTAATAAAATAAAAAAAAACTCAAACTGTCAGAATAAAAGATTTTTTTCTACTATTTGTCTCCTCCGCATCACCCTGGTGCCATTTTGGGAGAATATCCACTGAGCTAGGGCTGGGCGATAAATTGATAACGATAATTATCGCGCGATATAAATTTCCTCGTTAAACAATAACAAAAGGTCGATAAATTTTAAATATAATGTTTACGAGGCAAAGGCGGAACGAAAGAGTGCAACTCATTTGAAGCACGTCACTCGGACCATTTATCTGCTTGGATCAAAGTTTAAACGGCGGCGCAGCGCGAGCTTCACTAGAGCAGATGAGTTTACTCGCTGATGAGTCAAACGGTGCTGCTTGAGATCCAGTGTGAAGCGCTTGCATTCAACGAAGAACACAAATAACTCTGTTTACAGCCAGAAATAGGCCTGTCACGATAACAACATTTTGTTGAGCGATATATTGCCCCAGAAATAATTGCAATAAGCGATATTATTGTCATTTTAAGCCACTGAATATATAATCATAATGTAACAGCATCATAATGCATGAAGTCCTACACACTTCCAAATGACAACAAACTATAAATTTTTAAGAATATTTAGATCATGGAAATTAAGTATCAAAATGTTAGATACATGTACATATATTGTGTGATAAGTCGATATATTGATTATTGTGACAGGCCTAGCCAGATGAAACACAGCGCTGACAAACAGGAGAAACACTGCGCAACGATACAGTCAGAAGACTTTTTAATCTACAAATTGCCATCAGTTACCATAGATTTACTGTAGCAATAACTGCACCATGGTATTGTGTCAGAAATGTGGGTATTTGTGTCGAATTTATATTATTAATGTAAACATGTTTTAAATGTATTGAAGGAGGAGTAATGGAATATAATTACAGTATTTTTTTTGCAATTAAGCTATAGCGTTTATGCATTTATACTAAATTTATTTAGACTAGCTACTGTTTTTCATACAAATACCTAAAAACCATATTACATTTTTACCATGTTATTGATGTGCTATATTTGTGGTTTTAACTGTGATTATCATGATCTAAATGTATGCTACTATGGAAGACCAGTGGTTAATAAAATAAAAAAAAACTCAAACTGTCAGAATAAATAAATTTCACCATATAAAACTGAGGTTACTACAATACTTACAGATATTACTGATTTTGAAAATGAACATTGTGACGAGAGGGGTGGGGCTGAGAGCCGTGGGAACGGAGCGAGACCGGTGGAGTAAATGCTAATGCGCGACACCTGCGCCACTCACCGGTCTCGAGTCCCACGGAGGAGCTCCGGAAGAATAAAAGGAGGAGTGACGACAGTGTTGGACGAGAGAGGACCAGGCCTGGGCTTTATTTTGTGTTTTGTGTGTGGCAGTCATTTAAAGTTTTCTTTAAATGTTCGCCGGTTCCTGCCTCCTTCTTCCCGAACTATGAACTTTGTTACAAACATAAATCTACATCTGCATCCTAACTTCAGCTTCTATTAAATGTGTATTTCTAAGAGACAAAAAAATTTATATTATTATTAATATTATCAGGCAACACAAACCTGTTTCTTGATTTGAAACAATATTACTCTGCCTTTAAACTTGAAAGAAATACAAATTTGACATTTATCGTTATAATTATCGATATTAACTGATAATGTAAAAAAACCATTATCGTGATAATTTTTTGGCCATATCGCCCAGACCTACACTGAGCCATCCGCGTGACGCAGCTGACACAGAATAGCATACGCTGTTTACGTTCAGTGGATATTCTCCAAAATGGCACCAGGGTGACGTGGAGGAGACGAATTGTTGAATAAAGTCGTTATTTTTGTTTTCTTTGCGTACAAAATGTATTCTTGTAGCTTCGAAAAATTACTGTTGAACCCCTGATGTCACATGGATTATTTTACCAATCTCCTTGTTACGTTTCTGGACCTTGATCGTGGTAATTACATTGCTGTCAGAGAGCTCTCAGAATTCATCAAAAATATCTTAATTTGTGTTTCGAAGATGAACGGAGGTCTTATGGGTTTGGAACGACATGAGGGTGCGTAATTAATGACAGAATTTTCATTTTTGGGTGAACTAACCCTTTAAGCATGTAGAGGAATTTGGATACCTCTGTGTGTGCATTTAAGATAAAAATCTATCTATCTATCAGAACAGCTTTTTGTAACATTGTTATCTCATCTGAGGCCCAGTGATACAGAAGAAAATAATAGTAGTATTATTATAAATAAAAGTAATAAACAACCGTGCACAAATATTGTGGCAACTTTCTTTGACTTAGTCTATGACTTTATAAGTAATGGTTTTTATGACATCAAGGCTCCTTTGAGAAAGGTTTCAGAATGAGGTTTTCTTGCCTTCTGGGCTGAGATCGGCGGTCATCTTCCCCACTGCCAGACTCCTTTAAAACAATAAATAAAAGGAAACAGATTTATTATTTGTACTGATCTGTAGCCTAATATACTACCTCTGGTTGTAACTCTCATGCTAAACAATATGATGAAACTGCAATGTAAAGATTAGCATAAAATCTTTAATACTTAAAAAAATCAGTTCATGCAGAGACAGAGCATCCACTAAAATTTAGTGTTGTATTTTAACTTCACAAGGTTAGCTTTAGTTGAAGTTAACTTAATGTTGTATTTTTGTTTAAAAATAATTTTTATATTTCACAAAAATTAAATTGAGCTCAAACACTGATTGACAAATGCCCTGTAGTACCACCGTGGTACCCCACTAATCCGTGTATCATTCGATCATTCGTTTTTTTAAATTTCATTTTGAAAGTAGAAAAATGAGAAAACGGATCCTTTTTTCGTGTTTCTGCTTAATTCTGCTTAAATCTGCTTAAATTTTCGTTTTTTGTTCTTGGGTGGAAAAATTAATAAACAGCTTGAATATTCGATTTCTACAAGTGGGCGGGAATTAAACGTCCCTTTCTGCTGATTGGTCAGCCGAAGATCAAACCGTGCCGTCATCAGTTCTTCTGCAGATCACGCAGCAGAATAATAGTCCTCCACTGCTGCAGTTGTATGGATTAATAACCCATTTTATTGCAACTACATTTCATGTTTTTCTCATCAAACTCGTACAGAGGCAGAGTCTAGACAGGGCTTTCTTCTGTGTAGACCAGTGGTTCTTAAAGTGATAGGGGGTCCGAGAAATTATTTGCTATAGCCTAAAGTATTTCCAAACTGTAAAGTGTTTTTTTTTTATCATGATACATAGGCCTACTGTGATTTATTCCAAAGTGAATTATGATGCATTTAACGCTTATATGAAGCCTTTTAAAAGACGTGTATTCCCTGTGGTTGTTGATGTTTGTGGCATGCGGCAGAAAGATGCTCAAGGAGACCGAGACGCGCCTAGACTCTGCCCAGGTATGAGTTGTGTCCAGCTATTCATTAGCCTGTTTGTTTGATGAAAAAAGACTAAATATAGTTGCAATAAATGCGTTAAGAATACAACTGCAGCAGCGGAGGACTATTATTCTGCTGCGTGATACTGCAGAAGAACTGATGATGACACGGTTTGATCTTCGGCTGACCAATCAGCAGAAAGGGGCGTTTAATTCCCGCCCACGTGTAGAAATCGAATATTCAAGCTGTTTATTAATTTTTCCACCCAAGAACGAAAAACGAAAATTTAAGCTGAATTCTCGTTTTTCGTGTTTTGGAAAAAAACGAAAATACGAAAAAGGAGCCATTTTCTAATTTTTCTACTTTCAATATGAAATCAAAAAACGAATGATCGAATGATACATGGATTCCCACTGATTAGGGCTGGACGATATGGCCAAAATTTATATCACAATATATTTCTTAATTTCGGTCGATACGATATAATTCTGATAGCGATATGAACACTATTAAAAAAGCCTCATTAAAACTGCCAAGAACACCCACAACAGATGTCTGTACCTACAAACTTCTGAAAAATTAATTTGCCAAGTCTATGAAACCTCTTCCTATAAAACTATTTAATGTTTTAGAAAAAAAAAACAACACAAATAAATTAATGTTCACCTTTTATTTGTATTTAGCCTTCATACAAACAAGAAATGTGAAATCAATGTCAAATAAACATCTCAGACTCACCTTATTAATTATTATATTTAACTTCAAACTATAGGCTAACATACCAATCAAACGTTTTTGAACAGTAAGATTTTTTTATTATTTTTAAAAAGATTATATAATTATAAATCAATTATAATTATATTATATACATTTAGTTTTTTTGTTTTTAAATAATTCTCTTCTGCTCACCAAGCCTGCATTCAGCTTTCTTGCCAGTGATCAATACATAAAAAAAAAACAGTTCAGAGTAGCATAGCATCTTTATCCAGATAGTAGAACATAGACAAAGTAAGTCATAATATCATATTAAGAAATAGTGTGATAAAGGTTGACAGGATATTTGGAAGCTTGCTTTTCTCATGGCACAACAAGCTCTCTAAACACTGAAGAAATTTCCACCAGCCTACTTGTGTGGAATAAAAATTATATTGCAAAAACAAGAGTCACATCAGTATTAGGCCTAATTTGAAATGCATTGCATCTGTTAGACTGAGATTTGCCATGTTCAGAAATACATTGAATGCAAAAAGACGTGTTATCAGAACAAATTATTTCAAGCAACTCATGACAGACATGACCCTAGATGGGAATGATTTTGCATAAACACAAATGAAAGCTCAGTGTTTTGCATTATGGAAATGCTTTGCTCCATGAAATCTGTGTTTGAATCATTTGGTTTTTTGAGCAGCAAATGACAGTCAATCCAGACCTCCAAAATATTTGACTATCCAATGCATACCTTAGTCATAAGCACAGTTCACACGAGAGTATGGTCAAAGCACAGTACAGCAAACCAAGACCAGACTAGTATTAACTTGGTGCACCGTAGAAATCAAACTTCAGGAGACTAACAAGACACTCTCACATGAGATTTCTCACAGATATCACATGATACAAGATCTTCGAAAGACAACAAAATCGCATTTAAGAGATAATACTTGTCCACTGCTTACTTAACAGAACATGTTTAGCAAACAGGTTGGAAGTTTTTTTGAAGTGTACTGCTCAAGAAGATAATAGTGAAAGTAGATATTGGTTCCTAGAACCTGAAACCGAACCTTCAACCTCTGTAATACTGACCCAGATTTTAGCAGCACCATCATGGCTGCAGTTTCGGCAACTGAATAGACAATACTGACATGTCATTCAACTCAGTAGTGGTAAAAATGAATTGCATTATAATAGATCTTGCCTTTTACCCTTACATACAAATTGACCTACAAATGCTAACATTCCTCTAGGCCAAGTGAATTAGATGGCTGTCAAAGTTAAAGGATTAGTTCACTTTCAAATTAAAATTTCCTGATAATTTACTCACCCCCATGTCATCCAAGATGCTTACGTCTTTCTTTCTTCAGTCGAAAAGAAATTAAGGTTTTTGATGAAAACATTCCAGGATTATTCTCCTTATAGTGGACTTCCAACGGCTACCAAACGGTTGAAGGTCAAAATTACAGTTTCAGTGCAGCTTCAAAGGGCTCGACACGATACCAGACGAGGAATAAGGGTCTTATCTACACTGTAAAAAAAAAATTCTGTAGTTTTTACAAAATAATTTTGGCAGCTGTGGTTGCCAGAATAATTTTGTCAAAAATACAGAAAAACTGTAAACACATTTACGGCCAAAAAATTCACATTTTACAGTATAAAACTGTAATTTACAAACAAGAAAATTTGAAAGTAAACCAGTAAATTCGACAATGCACACTGCTATTAAAATCTGTTTTGTACCTTTAACATACTGACAACCACCATAATAATGCAGGTGGTAAAAGAGAAAGCCACATTAAGAATCAAAGCTCATCACCAGTAGCTTCGCCACAAGCAGAAGTATATACTAATATATAGAAGGTGCACAGAGTCATTCATGCAAACACAAAACACCATCATGGTAACACACATGATTAAACTTTCATTAAACAACAGAAGTAACATGTAACATAAAGCCCAAATATACATAACTAATAACAAAAACTATTAAAAAAACATGATTATTTAAACAAAATACTTTCAAATGTGGAGTGTCATGCAGGGAATTCTGGGTATATCAGTTTACAGTTTTTGACTGTAAATGATACATTGTTATTTTTACTTCTAAAAACTGTCAAATGAACAGCATTTTACTGTACAATTACATGAAATGTCTGGTTAAATATGTTACAGTTTTTCCCTGTATATAGTACGGGAACTTACTGTTAACCTATTAACAGTTTTTTTCCGTAGCGTTTTGACAATTTTACAGTTAAAATTACACTTATTTTTTACAGTGTAGCGAAACGATCTGTCATTTTCTAAAAAAAAAAAAAAAAAAATGGGCGCCTTCCACTGCCTTGCGA